AAAGATTAATCTAACCTGTTAAGGTTTGCTATGTGCCTGTACAAACAAACAATTCAGCAATAATTACGTATAAGTGGCTTTGCTACACAAAATTTATCCACAACTTAGCGCATATAAACCGCATTTCGCAGGTTTAAAATCATCTTTGTTATTTTATTTGACTGCCTTTTTGATAATCAATTATTACTAGATCGGTTGTAATATTCGATATAGGAAACACTTAGCCACTTTCCGAGATGCGTGAATCCGAAAAATATCGTAAAGATTCGCGCTACAAAAAATATGTTCAACTTGTGGAAAAAACCCTACAATCTTTTGATAAGGAAGTCAACGAATGGGCTGACTTCATATCTTTTTTGGGAAGGCTCTTAAAGGTTGAATATTGATCTCTTGCTCTTTATAAGTAGTTGTTTGCTGCATTTGCGAAATGACCTTTTTTTTTCGTTTCTTTCAACTCCCTTATCGCATAGGCTTTTCAAGCGTATCCTCAGTATCCCGTGATACCTCGAAAGCTGGTTGTCGCGAAACGACTCTCCCAATCGTTAAACCCGGCATTACCACCTGGAGTTCATCAAAAAGCATTAGAGGTTTATACTCATATTTTTAAAAGTATAGGGGTAGGCCAAAATTCTTTGATCTCAATTAGTTTTACATGACAGAATGTTTGATCTAGCAGGAGAACAAAATTCATCAAAGAGAATAATGTTGGTATTTAGACCGATCAATTAGCAGAGGATCTTCCCGTTTACTCTCACGGTCTTTTCCCATTTCTCCAATATGCTGCGATGAATGTGAAGGTATCTATTCTTTTACTTGATGATTTTTCATATTGATACAAAACTCTGAAGATATATTCACGAGATTTTAGCCACAATTGTTAGAGATATACGAAGTGTATTATCTTCCACTACGTACGCGATTACGTCCTGTCATGAAAGCTCTGATCACTGCGCTTTTACCTGGGCTCGAAGAAGAAGGCAGCGAATCATTTGACAAAGTAGGCGACGAACATTGATTTTTATTAAACAAGGAATCAATGTTATCATTATGCTAACCTAGTCATATTTTTAGGTTTTATTTCTTTTTGAAGAATTATCAGGAACAGTAGAACAATCATATTTTCTTCAGAGTTTATGGCTTGTTCTGATAACAACACCTTCTTTGCGAACTCCCGCATTAAATTATTTGTCCCGTCAAATGCCAAAAATTGCATCGAAAGAAGGTACATTGTTTTTTTACCTCTGATCTATTTATTATTAAAATTTTTAATCCAAGTTCGATTTTTTTTTTGTTATTAAAGATGTAGCTGTGATGCTTGGTGATGATGTTGGATTAATGGTTAGAGCTTTTGCCGCTACGCTAGGAGATAA